CGAGCCGGAGGGAGGGGGAAGGAGCCGGGACTCTCGGAGCTCCGGCGCGCGGAGATCTCGGCGCCCAAGTCACGTGCTGCGGTGCCAGCAAATGAGCACCTACAGGCGCGGTGACGTCGAGAAGCGGCGAGGTTGATGACAGCCGGGCCCCGTCACGTGGTCGGGCCCACTCCAATGGGTGGCACCCGAGCGACGTGAAGTTCCCGGCGGCCCGTGCGGCGGCGGTGGTTGGGTGGTAAGATGGCGGCTGTGAGTCTGCGGCTCGGCGACTTGGTGTGGTGAGTGTAAGCGGCCCGGGCCAAGCGAGATGCGCAGCGGATCTGTGCCTCTGGGCGCGGGTTTCGCAGCCAGCCCCAGAGCTGCCTTTCTATGTGCTCCAGGCCGTGGAGAGGGGAAGACGAAGTGTCGGCGCTGCAAGCGGCGCTGGGCGGAAGGGGCAGTCCGGCCCCGGGGGACTGAGGCCGAGGGTGGCCGTGGTAGACCCGGCTGTGATCCCCGAGGCCGCCTCGGGGAGGGCTGCGTTTGGGTCCCGGATGCCAGCGGTCACCGCGGAGGGAGCCCCGGCACCGCCCGGCTCTGGAAAACCCCGATCTCTCGGGTCTTGCCTGGGACTCTCGGGAAAGCCGGAGAGCTGGGGAATCCGCGGGGCCGTCGCGCCGGGGCAGGTCCGTCAACACCCGCGTTGCGATGGGACCGACCAGTGCGGGCAGCTCGACCGGGGTTGTCGAAACCGGATTGCTGGGATCGCCCGGTGAGGAAACGGAATGGGGACTTCTGCTTTACAACCAGTGGCTTGGCAGTGACCAGTGCCGCCTTGGGGTGCCGCTCAGGGTCTGCTCCTGTGTCCCTGACAACGGCCAGAACCAAGACCGATAGTCGTCGCCTTTCTTGAACTGCGTAGTTTGTTTTTTGACCCAGACGAAGGCTTCCAATAGCACTTGTCAAAGCTGGGTTGATCTCCTAGTGAATTAAACTAGATTTAAGAAAAGTCTGTGTTTACAGAGGGAACTACTCTCCTACCGTAGTCGCTGGGAGACTCCAGACAAGTGTTTCTTGACGGTTTTGTTGTTCTGTGTTCTTTGTCAGCGGAATTCACAGACCCCAAAGCGCATACTGTACAATTTTGTATTCGATGTCTGAGGGCCCTGGGTCCAACTGTAGAAGCCTGATTAAGAACTCTAGTTTAGCCGGGCGTGGTGGCTCACCCCTTTAATCCCAGCATTCGGGAGGCTGAGGCAGGAGGATCGCTGTGAGTTCGACACCAGCCTGGGTTACATAGTGAATTCCAGAGTTCCAGGTCAGTCTCAACTACATAGTGAGACCCTGTCTCAAAAACCAAAAAAAAGAACTCTAGTTTACCAGCTTTTGTTCTGACTCTCGATGGTACCAACAGAGATAAGAGTGTAAAATGTGTATTGAAGGAGATGGACTGGCTTTTCCTGTACAAGTTCTGACTCTGTGCTTTCTCTAGGGGGAAACTCGGCAGGTATCCTCCTTGGCCAGGAAAGGTGAGTGCCTTGCTGTCTGAAGTTGGGTTTGTGGAAGTGGGAAATGGAAGATCCCTCTATTTCTAGCATTTAAACTGGGTGCATTTAGATAACTGAGTTGTTTTGTTTTTTATTTCTGTTTTTGCTTTTATTTTTCGTAGTTTCAGTTACTTTAGAAGAGATAGTACAAACCAGATCATTTAATCTGTAGTAATCACTTATTTCCTGAATTAGAGATGGTGTGTGAAATTTTTCACTGTAAAACTCAATGCTAATTTGAATTCAGCTTTATGCTTAATCTAATGAAAGTAAAAGAAAATTAATTCTCCAGGAAAAGTCTAAATGTAGGTTAGTGAAAAGCCAAAGTATTTTTGTCCCAACTAAGTTTAAATCTTCTTCCCCTGTTGCCATATGTGCTGCTCCAGAGCATTTTTGCAGAAGTTGGCATTCCAGATTTTGCATGAGGTGATCCATCCTAGCTTTCCAAATGTTCTGCTTTTATATTCTTGCTAGCAATCCAGGAAATGTCGTTAGACTCTGCAATATGGTGTTTTCTGTGCTGCAGTTGTCCTTTATTTTCCCCATTTCTTGTCTCATTTCTTTCTGTACCAGAAGTATTTTGAAAATGTCCTCTGTATTTTTTCACTGCTGACATTCACGTTGGAGGGGAAAATGTTGATTCAGTTTTAACTACTTGGATAAGAGGAACCATTGCAGTAAAAGAAATATTGTAGGGCTGGGGATTTAACTCAGTGGTGCTGCCACCTGCTTTGCAATGACAAGTTGGGGATCCCCATACCAAAAACAAAACAAAGCAAAAGGAATATTGTATAGAGTGAAGATTGCTACATGTTAGCTCAGGGGATTTATAGAATCCTTACACACTTTACACATCTCAAGAGAAATGCCAGGGCAGGTATTAGGTCGGTCGGTCTTTCTTTCTTCCTTCCTTCTTTCCTTCCTTCCTTCCTTCCCTCCCCCCTCCCCCGCTCCCCCCCTCACTTACAGCTGTGGAA